GATCTGACCGGATATTCTTCTCTTCTGTGTTCTTTTCTTATTATGTCTGTGGTATCCACCTTACACGTCTGAGTCGGTAAAGTAAAACAAAGGAAACCTGAGAAACGTAATGATTTCTGGCTTCCCTCTCTCAACGACAATAAACACGTTAACTTTCGTGAAGCGGACTTTCACGTTCTGTGATTGGGTCCTCGATTTGAAAACCTTGATTCTGATTGGTCAAATTGAATGCACTGCGCTAGTGGGCTGGGCGGTGGGGGACACACTTCTCCCCTGTGTACACATGTGTTTACTGTTTACAAACAGAAACAAGTATAACTGCATTATGATTTAAAGTATGCTTATTTCTATATGTTGTTTGTTAAGTTAACAACATGTGCTGCTTCCTTCTGGGCCAGGTTACCCTTATGAAAGAGGTCTCTGACCTCAACTAGCCATTTACCTGATTAAAAAAGTACCCTACACAATGAAGCATGTTTGGCATAAATATATTTTTAACCTACTAAAAGTATAATTGTTTAACAATGTACTTCCACAAAGTACACCTATATAGTATTTATTAAGAGGTAAATAAATATATTTTAATAAATAGACTAAAATGTTGTAAAAATATACTTTTATTTAAGCATATTTATTAAAAGTTTAATTAAGTATATATTTATTACCAATTTATTCAAAGTATACTTTTGAGAAGTATGTTAAAGCTCAGGAGAATATATCTTGTAATATACTTGTAGTAAGCATGTTAGGAGTATGAATGTAGCATAGGCCTACTATGTGAATTTCTAGTATATTTTCAGTGCCTTTAAGAGCACTTCTTTTTGACCTGGGGATCAACATTACTCAGAATGTAAAGACAGATAAGCGGTATGAAAACCTTACAGCTGTGTTTTCCTCTGCCATTGTTGCTGCAGCGGTCTGAGTGACGGTGGGACCAGATCAAGGGCTCTGTGACCGGCGGCTGGCCGACCTCGCGAGCTACTCCTGCCGGTTACCGCAGGCTTCCCCCGCCGCCACTTGCGGAACTCCGAAAACTTTCAAGCACATTTTTGTTCCGCCAGCATTTCTCTTAAAACCGTCAATATTCGAAATCTACACAGTTGATTTCTCACCTCAAAACTTCTCAGAATTGGTTTTACTGAATAATAACGTAAATATAATTTCTTAATATTTCTACCTAACAAAACCTAATTTCTTGACTGGCTACTCTCTGCTGTCTTAAAAGACTATACCTTTGGTCCTGTGTCAGCCACCGTGGATATCCTACACTCTTTGAAAGGGGGAGTAGACTAGACAGTTTGTTGTAATTTGCAACCTCACTGCTAGATGCCACTAAAGCTTACACACTTAGGGCCCAATTTACTAAAATTCCGAATAAAGACTACTAAATTGCGTGTGCATTCTAAAATATTACACATGCAATTGTAGTACCTGTTATGGGTGATTAACTAAGAATTATTGTGTAGCTGACAACAGGAGCAAACACATTGGAGATGGCAGTATTTAAATGAGGGTTTTGCCTGTTTTAATGGTTTCTGCCATGGAGAGTCGGGAGGGAAAGCAGTCACTGCGTAAAAACCTTTACGTTTATTTCATTCAGTGTGTCCCGAGTATGTGGAAATCATATGTACCATCCTGCCTAAGATTGCACCAAGTACTTGGGACAGCACACCTGAAAAACTGCTTTGGGAAACCCCAACAGAAACAGATACAGTAAGCTGGAATGACTCAGACGCAAGGACATGCCAGCAGATCGTGTTTCATCCAGTCAGAGGGAACAATCACCAACCATCCGCACTGTGCCCTGTACGCCCCAACGCCCCATTCCCTCTCTGATACCTACAATGCGTTGTGCTGCTGTGAACAGTTGGTGATCATTCCCTCTGGCTGGATGAATTTTATGCATGATCCATGCACTACTGCATCTCACGGAGAAAAGAAGTCAGGTCGAAATGAAATTTGCTTTATTGGCATGAATGTTAATACAACAGTATTGCCAAAGCTAGTTCCAGGGCTGACAAATAATGATAATCAGAATCATTGTTACCACTGTGCAGATAAATACATAACCCTAATAAGGAGGCTTTAAAATATACATTTTACAAGGGGTTTACAAAGCGACCTGCTAAGAAGCGGTAAATGATTTCAAAGTTGGTTGACTCTTCTCAACTATGGAGGACTGTATCTGACACAATTAATATAGAAATTAAAAAATGAATAAATAAATAAACATCCTATTAAATGCACCAAAAATACTTAAAAAATAAATGTAGGCATTAATTAAATTATACAATGAGGCAAAAATTCTTTATTTATTCACCTGTGTATTACCTTATTTATTTATTTTCCTTTATATTTCATTATTTATAAAAATCTATTTATTTACGTGTTTGTTTTAATATTGTTGTCTGTTTCATTCTTCCTTTGCATTTTCTACCCTATTTATTTTCCCAAAGGTATTTATTTCTGTCTCCCCCTTTTCCATTTATCTATGCATTTCTGCCTCATTATGCAAATAACAGTGTCTCAAGCGGTCAACTTCTCACCTATTGGTTGACCACTCAGACGGCAGAGGTCGACTCTGAATCATGCACACACAAGCTTCGCTCTCCACACTCAAAACAGAGATGGCTTCCTTCAGTGAGGGGATCTCAGTGAACTGAGGCATTTAGAAACTCTTTTTGAAAACAACACTACCAGCCATTCTTTTTTGTGTGGACGCTTTGACAGACAGTGTTTTCGATTAGTTTCATACACGGACACAGAACTGTGGTAAAGTGAGCTGAGCATTGGTGTTGGGTGATGCCTCCTTCTCCCATGTGTTCTTCCAGTACTGTTCGGTGTCAGCCCTGGGGGGATCTGATCTTGTGTTATTACCCTGCCACTGACAGTACATTTTGGATGGTTCAGTGAAGAACATCCAGTTTATTCTTCTGGCCTCTGCTTCTCTCTTGTATCTCCTTAGGCGGGTAGAGTCTTTGTTTGGCAGTCTCCAGTGCCTCAGGTATAGACAGCTTGTTGTATTTCTTAGGTAGCCCGTTCCTTACACCTTACTGTAACTCTGAGAGCTGACTAACTTCTCTCCATGTTGCCTTGATCTTGGCCTCTAGCCTTCTATTCCAGGTGGGATAATGCTCTTTGTGGCTTATGGTCTAATAGCCGAGCATCTCTAGGATCACTGTTGCTGTGGCATACATCAGCTCATTGGTCTCAGTTATGGTTTCAGTAGAGATAGTAGTGCTGCATTCACATCTTCTAACAGACTTTCAGACGGTACTTTGTCAATTAGTCGTTGTACTTAGGGGTCCAGCTAGGTTATGATCTTCAATATAAGCTCAGTCGCCCTCGTATGAAGTAAGTCTGTGCCGTAAGGGTTTGTTGTTATTGGGGCTTGGGGGATGAGGACATCTCCTCGCTGACCTGTCGTCCGGTCAGTCTCAATTTGTGATAGCAGTTGCCACTTGTGGATGTTAGAACACTGAGTTGTTTCTTTTTCAGTGTCGATGATGAGTTTCAAAGCATCCATATAGCCCACGGTCTCTGCATATAACTTCCTCTCACCACACCAAACCAGATAACAACAGTGAGCCATTGCCCTGTAATGCAGTACCATCAGCCTGATACTCCCTTGTTTACATCGGCCATACATTTCAGGACAATGTTCAAGACCCCTGATGACTTAAGTCTAGGATCTCGATCCATAAAATTGTTAGCAAATGTACTCTGCTGTTAGTCCCTCTCTTGGTATGTGAATGAGTGAGTTTTGATTTATTTTTACCTTTTGGTGTGGCTGCAGGATGCTTGGTGGTTTTGGTTATGTGTTGTCTGTCTGTGTTCTCCTCTTCTCTCACACAGTCTGCGGTAGGGGGGCGTGTTTGAGGATCCTGGGTCACTCACTCACATGCTTCCCATCCATGATCACTCACCTGCTTCCCATCAAGCAATCTGCTCGGCCTACTTAAACGCACAATGTAGCCTATGAGATACAAGCGCTCATCTTCCCTAAAACTCTGACCACTGAAATGAAGATATCTGGTGACATCTGCCGTTTGAAAAGAGTACTACATGTTTTTGAAACAAAAATAAAAAGTTTAACGAGGACCATTATGATATGCTGTGTGTATTACCATCACCACTATAAAACTGGATAAACAGCTTTCTTGGTCACTGGCTGCAGGTCCTTCGTGAGCCTGAGCTCTGACTTTCCTCTGAAAATAGTGATTTACAGTATTAACGTAATTCCCCCTCATTAATTTATATCAGATTCATTTATAAGAAATGAGGTTTAAACAAAACAGATAACCTAGGTCACAGTTTCAGCAATGCTCGAGGTCCCTATAGGTAGACCTAATGCTAGTTTAAAGTTATGCTCAAAGGTTGTTTGCAACTAAGTTACCAACAGCACTTCCACATGGAAATACTAAAAGAAACTAGCAGACAAACAACAACTTATACCTGAAGATTAAACTGGAGAAGAAGACCATACACCTCCTGGTAAGTGACCAAACACATAGCTGAACAGAGTCAAGAATAGATTGGCATATATAAGCATATAGTAATAGCCTACCAATGCTTAATCCTCCCAATACGCAATATAAAAAGACACAATAAAGCTTTATAAGTTGCAACTAATGGCTTAATCAATGGTTCTAAACAAATACGAAAGCTATATGAATCATAAGCTAATATATAAACAACTTTGGGGTTGCCTATCTTCCTCCTTCACCAGGACACTTGCTTTGTCTTTTTAGCTTTTAAATTCATCAGGTTTCCTGAAATGGAGAGTTTGACCTCTGACCTTCTGGAAAAGGGCTGCAACACTTCTGGACCAGAACAACCACAAAAACATATAACTTCTAACAGTGACTTTTGTGATAAACCTTTATTAATGAGTTCTTAACATTTCCAAATACAGTTGATATTCAACTTTTGCTGATGACCCTTTATTAATGATGCATTGACATTGACCTTTAATAATGATTTACAACAATAACTTTCCAATAGCTATTAAAATGAGATAGATTTGTTGGCTTATTAGAAAGTGAAGAGATCTTGTATTAATAGATATTAATGACTCAGCGTTCAGAGAAAGTTTCCACAACTTGGCAACACAAAAATTGTCCATATTAATGGCTCATAACTGATCAAGCATTATCAAAACTTATAACCCCTTTATAATTAAAATAAAGTATTTAAAAACATGAGGAATTATCTTTAGTTGTTTAGCTGGCTAAGGCTGAAACCCTTTTACTCAAGCATCAAATTTGTAATCCTGGATAAATTTCAGAACCATGGCCAGCTCTAGATCAGAACCAAGGTCAGCTCTACGACCAGATCAGAACCAGAGACTGTAGACAGTCTATGGTCAGAACTGTGGCGCTGGGAGAGGAGGATCATTGGGACGAGACCTAATAGGTCTTATGCATTGCTGCACATTATTGTTACATGTCAGCAGCTTACTTCTTTCATGTTTTTTTGAGACAGACGTGCTGCGATACCCCACAGAACCCGTTAAAACTCGATTCACCTTCTCTGTTATTTCATAAGTTTTCATTCTGTGTATGTGTATTGAAATCCTTGAGCTCCTAAACCTCTTCACATGCGCTGCCTGTGCGACATAGCTATTTCAAAATAAGATATGATTGAACGTGTGTTGAAAACGAATCAATTGAAAACTGCTTCAAAACATTCCGACTGAATTATAGTACACTTTCACATTTACTTATTCTTTTATCCAGCAGGCCCATGCTTGCATCGTTTTTCATTGTGACACTTTTACGGTGAGGGTAAAACCTTATTTCCTGTCTCTCTGTCGCTCACTTGACGCAGTTTGGACTCCGCACGGTTGCGCATCCCTGGACTGAGCTGTCAGGAAAACTCAAAGGAGCAGGAGGCACGCTGATATATTTTGGACAACTGCTTTGAAGTGAACACAGTTAAGCAAAGAGCATTTACGTCTGAAGAGCCAGGGGCGACGAGAGGCTCAATCCATGTCCGGGGCGCGCGCGGTTACAAGAACTACGAGAAGCAGCCTGAAGCTGCGATTGTTCTAGGAAGAGACTTGTTTCGATGCAAAATTGATGCCGTTTGAGTAGTTTATAAAACTGGAAAGTGCTGATTTTACAGCGGTGTTGCATTAGCCTTTGGAAGACCCTCTTGCTACTTCGGACCGGGTGTGTGTGGAGACTCACGTAGGCATAAGGGAACCGTTGCAGGAGGTGCTGCTGATGCACAAGTCAGGAAGGCTCGAGTGAATTTGTGGTGGCCTCAAATGATTTCTACTGAATAACTGCTTTGCAAGATCGCCCCCAAGACTGAAGTCCTGACAACCTGCATCTTCCTCTGTGTTGCCATCACCATTGTGCAAGGACTATGCTGATGAAGGAGTACCGCATCTGCATGCCTCTCACGGTGGAGGAGGTAGGTGAAGTTTTCTTGGTTTTTCATGATGTTTCGCATCCTGCTGATTGTCTTTCCTTCCTTCTCAACTCCGTGGCCAGGAGCCTCGCATCTGCAGGTCAGCTCGTTCTGTTTGATTTACTGTAGTTTTTACTAGGGAACCGATGATTGCAAAGTTGTCAGTGATGTTCTTATCGTTTTGCACCAAAGGACATATTGAGCTCCTCCAACCGATCAGGCAGCCACCGCCGGGTGGAGCTGCTGTTGTCTCTTTTAGGCTACTGAGAGCTGCAGTACTGTAAGAGGGACTGTGTGCAGCAGCAGCAGCAGCAGCGGAGGGAATCGTGTGATTGTTATAGGCACGATAGTGAAGGACAAAACGTGCAGTCATTTTTGGGGTTAAGAGTAATACAAATTGCTTTCTACCTCTGGTCACAGTTTCTTCTCTTCAAAACTCCACTCTGCATTTTTATTATGCCATGGCCACATATTTATTATAAGGTCTCACCTTTGTACTCCTGATTTTTGGTTGCAGGAACTGATGCTTATGCAACCGCTGTGTGTGCACGCTGTAGCACTCAGAGCTGGAATGTGGTTTTAATGCACATATGTGGTCACGTTTCATTAAGTAGAGACACATTCACCGTCAGCATTTGTGCTTGGAGATGGGTAGAGTGAAAGAAAGGATGAGGGAGAGAAGTGTGAAATTCCCCTTAGGTCACAGTGACACAGAAACAGCCTCACAATCCAGTAATGCTGCTGTGTTTTGACATTTTACTACTCAAATAAGATATCTCAAACGTTCAGTGCTCAGCTCAGTTGTGACTGTATTTATTTTTGCTTGGTCCTGCTCCTGTCTCTCCTTTATCAGCTCTACTGTTACCTTTTTATGGAGTGACATTAATCGCATAGTTGGGCACTCTGGGTTTATGTATTGTTTACATACAATGGTGGTATTAGGGTGCGTTTACTTGCACTCTTGTGGTAAAGGCAAATAGTCTTTTTGATTAATTCCAGTGTTACCTTAACCTACACAACTGTTTTTTTCCAGTCAAAGTGTTTTATTTAGTTTATGTGTCATAGGTTTTACACACGATTTAACCTAGTTCATGATGTGACGTGAGCTGCAACTTACAGGGAGTCAGTGCACTTAAACTAATACGTGTGTTACCATAGTGGTAACAGTCAGCTGTGCTCAAGACACTGAATCCTTCACTGCAACATAAAGCCCACTGTTGTGTTCTTCGCTTGGTTGAGGATGAAATTGGAGTCATCTGTACTTTTAATCAGAGTTGAATGGCTTTACCCAAAGTCTATTGATCCTTATCTTGATCGATTGTCGAAGCTGTTTCTGTGAGTTTCATGTGTGTGTAGGCTAATTACCAAGATGCTGGTTTATCATATCTATTCAGTTTTTGCAGAACAAGCCAGCACACACAAAGACACAGAAATCATACAGTCAATATCAGTAGTGTGTATCAGTAGTTTTTATTGTGTGTGTGTGTGTGTGTGTGTGTGTGTGTGTGTGTCAGAGACAGATATGATGTCAGAGGGTTTATACATGTTAACTCTTAACACACTAGAAAACTGACAAAACAGTGATTGGATGAGTAAGTGGATCTCTCCCCGCCTAAAACAGTTTATTGCTGCCAGTAGACAATTATTTTCTAATCATCATTTTGCCCCCTTCCTAATTCAGTGTATCATGTACAAGCCAGGGAAATTTTGAAGTGGTTAATATCTTTCAGTAGTGCTGTCATCTGGACTGGTTTAAATTACATATTGTACTGATAATGTTCTCCTGTGAAAACTGGATGCATGATAAAAACCATCTTCATCTCACACACTATATTTTACCTTTGAATTAATGAGGAGAAATGATTCTTTTAGGGTTTTGGTGTCCTGGGTATATTGTATGCATTTCTTACACGGCACGCCATAACAGTCACGAATCAAGATCCCCTTGAATTGCAGCATGAGGGCAACAGGCTCCTCTTCAGATACATATGAGGTAGTGAAGTGGACTGCTTTGTTGTACAAAGACATGACTAGACGCCAACAATCTTCAACAGGCCCTTCAGGAGAATCTCATCTACGAATGGTGATGGTGATAAGTTTCTGAGAAAACAAATTGGAGACACTGTCATGAAGATCTCTTCATGGTATTACCACTTTTCTTTCATCCAAATAATATGCAATGTTCTGAGTATTCTGTTGCCCAGAACAGTTTCTGTTCATATTGTGCATCTTTGTGTTATTTATATTGCCACCTACATTGGTACATTCATAATATTTCAGAAGTGTATTTGTCAAACAGGCATATGACATAGTTTGATGGGAGAATTTGATTTTCACAGTGACAGCAGACCATTCATTTGACTAATATACAGTCCAAAGATTCATGGCAGGTACAGTGCTGTATATTAGCAGAGCTACATTATGTATCTCAGTGAAAATGACATTTTTGTCCAAGTGTGTTTGTTGTCCAGTCAGTAGGTTGTGCTCGAGCTGAGTGTTTTTAAAGAGGTGGTATTATACTTTTTGGCTTCTTCCCTCTCCTTTGTTGAGTTATATATCTTTTTTGTGCAGGTTTGCAGAGTGAAAAAGCCCAAAGGGAGTTCCCATCTCCCACAGAAAGCTCTGCTTTGAACCACTTGAAAACAGCGCGTTTGTAGTCCAGCCCTTCACTTCCTTTACTTGTGACGTCACAATGAAAACGAGTCATAAAGCTTGCCAAGCGGCTAGCAGGGGGTCAGGCACGCCCTCAAACCAAGCTAGTCTGAGCGGAGGCCCTTTGGCTCGACTCGCCTTTGTTTGGATTTCCATTGTAGAAATGTTGTATCTGTACCTACTTCCAGGTACTTTTTTTCGTATCATCTCACCTCCTTGAGGTTCCAAGCGAGCTGAGGAATACTAAAATGTGACGTGGCCGCCCCCCCACACCGTCCCATGGGAGAGGGCGCACCGCAAACCTCAGAAGGAGGATCACTCAGCCAAAACACTCAGTACTGAGTGAGTCAGAGAGAGACGGGTGACATCCCACAGGTGGAAACGGACGAAAGAGCATGGGGACGACCAGGAGGCCGCCGTGCAGATGTCGTCCACTGTCATCCCACCGTGCAGCGCCACTGAGGAGGAGACGCCTCTCATGAGTGCGCTCTGATGCCATCCAGGGGAGATTCACCGGCAGACACGTAAGCCTAGGAAATGGCATTGCACAGCCAGTGAGACAGGCGCTGCGCCGACAGGGGAAGTCCTTTGGACTGCTCCCTGTAGTGCACAAACAGACGCTGCAAACGGCGGCGCTAAGCAGGACAACGCGAGGAGTTGGGACGTGGCATCCTCCGTTGACCCATGGGGGGGAGGAAAAAGCCAGAGAGGGTGATGACCCGCGACTGCAAGGAGCTCATGCTTTTAGGCATGAACGTTGGGTTAGGGCGCAGGATAGCTGGAATCCTGAGGCACGACGGAGCCACAGAGCCAAAGGGCGCACTGAATGTTCTCCTTGTTGCCAAACAGATCCACCTCTGCCCTGCCGAACCGGAGCCAGATCTGGGCCACCAGATCGGGATGGAGACGCCACTCGTCTGGGCGAGGGCCTCCCATCGACATGATGTCCGCCTCTCTGTTCAGCACGCCAGGGATGTATTCTGCTCTGATGGAGAGAAGGTGAGTGAGCGCCCACAGGAGCAGCTGCCTGGCCAGACCCAGTAGCTGCGCCGAACGCACCCCGCCCTGGCGGTTTATGTAGGCAGCCCTGTTGTCGGTGTGGACCAGCACGTGCTGGTCCCTTAGCAGAGGGTAGAAGTGTAGGATCACCATCCACACCGTGAGAAGCTCCAGCGCGTTTAGGTGGCGAGGCCTGCGGCCCTGCCCAGGGGGACCCCGACCGAGAGAGAGAGAGGGGGTCCCGCCAGTAGGCCACAGACAGGGGAATGGAGACACGGCGCCATCTCTGTCTCACCGGGTCGACACGCAGGCGGATGAACCACCGCTGCAGCCTCCTCATGTCGAGAAGGCCCAGGGGAACCACCACGTAAGCCACTGACATGAGGCCCAGGAGCCTCATGACCGAACAACATGCTGAAGCAGCTCCATCAGAGCATGCACCCTCTCCTGAGAGAGCCGTGCTCTCCAGAGAGAGGAGTCCAGTACCACGCCAAGATAAGTGAGTCTCTGGGAGGGGAGAGGAGCACTCTTCTTCCAGTTCACCGTGAAGCCCAGGTAAGTCAGGTGTGTGACTAGCTGGGCCACCTGCACCACCGCTTCGTCCCGGGACAGCGCCAGCAGCAGCAGGTCGTCCAGGTAAAATACAACCCTAATGCCAGACTGCCGCAGCAGCTTCAGGGCCGTCGACACACTTGGAAAAAGTGTGCGGGGCCAGGGAACCGAAGGGCAGAAGTTACTGCTCCTAGCCAAAACATATTCTGGCACATATCTCCCCATAAAACAGTGAAGTTTTGTTTCTTACACTTTGCTTTTTCTACTGTTTAGACAAACAGATGTTAGTTAGTGAGCTTTAGTGGTGCTAGTAGGTGGATTTTCTTATACTCTTGAACAGAGCCAAGCTAGCTTTTCCCTTGTTTCCAGTTTTACAGCTAAGCGCTTAGCCAGCTGCTAGCTCCAGCTACATATTTAGTAGAAAGACATGAGAACGGTATCATCTTAACATCTAACTCTCAGCAAGAAAGTGAATAAGCAAATTTCTTAAATATGTTAGACAAAATGTATTGAACTCAGCCCAGTCTGTGATCCCAGCGGATCAGGCTGTCCATCCATCTGTGCATCGAGCAGGAAGCGAGCCACTCCGAGTAGCGTCTCTGAAGGGATGGACCACACGAGGTAGTGTAGTCGTCCTCGTGGGTCCCCTGCCGTACCGCATCCCCGGTGGGGGGAGGGAGGCACGAGGTGGGGCAGCCACACCCGTGAACCCATAACCATGCCGCTACCCCAATGAGGATGGGCGGGCAGGGACAGGCAACAGAGGAAATGGTCTGCCTGCGACATTGGAGCAAGCTGCA